ACATGAATGATGGTCATGAATGTTTATGTATGATTTTCATGAGTGATGCTCATGAATGTTTATGTATGAATGACATGAGTAATGCTCACGTATAATTTGGAGTACTGGACGTACTTTTAATCACCTGGTTGGTGGCATGAAGGAGAGTACGGGTTGTACATTTCATCACCTGGTTGGTGGCATGAATGGCTAGTTGCCAAATGATATTGGAGTACGGGTTGTACATTTCATCACCTGGTTGGTGGTAATAGCGGCAGGTTGCTGAATAATTTTAGAGTATTGGGCGTACTTTTGGTCACCTGGTTGATGATAATAGAGGCAGGTTGCCGAATAATTGTGGAGTACTAGGCGTACTTTTGGTCACTTGGTTGGTGCTATTTTGGGCTTATGGGCCTTCACCCTCCACAACATGCCAGCCCATTTATTTTGGGCTTTTTTTTTTACTACCCTCTAATGGGGTTTATACAGATGTCTCCAAAAGATAAGAAAAATAAATTACATCATTCAAAAAAATACTGCTGCATAAGGTGGGTATGACAGATGGTTGTAGGAGCTTTTGCTTTTACTTTTTCTTTTCCTTTCTACTTTTCCTTTTCTTCTTTTCTGCATGGTCCACGAGTTCCCCGCAATTATCTCTAGTCAACCGTCTTTTTCTTTTTCTTACTTTTGCTTTTTTTTTTCTTTTTTTTTTTCACTGGACCTCTGATTTCTTAAGTATGAGGGCCTGGCTTGAGCACGTTCTCACCACATTCGAGAGGTAGCAGATAATCCCTCAGAATATATGCACAATGTCATATGCGACTGTCTAGAAAAGCACGAATGACGAAAGCCCACCCAGAAAGCCGTTAAGTCTAATCTGGCTCCAGCTATCAAAGTATGAATGAACTGTAAACTCCGTCTTGGCAATGAATCCAACTGAAGTGACGGTCATGATAAAAAAGTAAACAATAAATCCGGTGAGGCCAGTGAACCCCGAAATTCCAGCAGTGACACCGCCGATGATAGAAAAGCCATTGGGGTGATTATAAGTGAACTTAACGCCTGAGCTACCACCCCCAAGATGGCTGCAGTGCTCATGGAAGCTGCTGATAGGTCGCGCCAGGCATGCATCCCACCTGTCACTCTCGGGCATCGTCTCTGCCACTCAGCACCTTCTAGAACATGATCTTCGGGTCCGACGGCGGAGTCGCCGTAGACATCAACTCTGCCGTGGATTTCACCGGTCCAGACTCTGACACTAGAAATCACGACTGTGAAGATAACAAACCCCACCGCCACTGTCAGCTCATTCTTCGTCAACGCTTCCATGGCTCTGCTATCTCTGCTCTGTCGGGTTCTCACTCCGAGACGGCTGGAGCTGTTGAGTCCAACGTCTTTCGTACGGGATGATTTGACGAAGGAGAAGAGGCTCGGGGTGAGCTGTTCCTGCAGAGCCTGAACGACCAAGTCAGTGAGCTCGAGTCGCGGTTCGATCGGCCGGCGAAGGAGAATTCGGAGAAGGTTGGGGTTCTGCCGGTTTCCAGGTCGGATCCTGAGGTGGGATTCGGGTTCTGGCTGTTGTGAGCTAGTTGCTGAATAATTTTGGCACTGCCGCAAGAATCGTGCTGCACGACTAGAACGAGGGCAGCAACAGCAGCCTCAACAGGCCGCTGATCATCAACTTAGTTTACCCCTAACTGTAGCCACTTTATGCAGAAAGTTATCAACTGAATCAAAACTTGGGAGCTTGTATAGAGATTCGAAACCTGCATCTGGGCCAAACCCACCACTCTTTTTCGCCTGACCTCTCTCTCTCTCTCTCTTCTGTCACGCATTTAGTGAGGTTTCCCGTGACATAGAGGAAAGAGGGGAGTCATTTGATTGGCTGGGATGAGGTATCTTGTTAAAAGCGTTGAGATGTTTGTGCTCTGGGTTTGGGTTTCTACAGATCTACGATGGTTGGAAAAAAATGAAAGACGGCGCCAAATGTTGATGCACAAAATCGGAGGTCTTGGAACAACGTAAATCTGACCGTGAATCTGCATGAAATGTAAATAACACAAAATGTATCGTGGTTCACCCCAAGGTTTGGGCTACGTCCACACTGATTGTATTCCTCTGAGAGTATTTATGAGGGAGAGAGTGTGAAAGCTTTGCTCTAGATAGGAGAGGCTTAGGGTTTGTGAGGGTCAGGAGGCCCTTTTATAGAATAAGGGCTCCTCCCCTAATTACATATTTGCCCCTTCCTTTATTACATAATTACATTTAAGTCCCTCGAGTATTTATACGAGGTCTAAATACGAGACCCTAAATATGGTATAAACATATTAATATACACATTTGAATTTATTAATTTTATTTAACTTTCTTCAATTATGTTTTATAAATGTGCCTAAATGAGAAAATATTAAACTGCATTGACACATAAGAAAAATATGTAAATACATAAGTGTATCGAAAATATAATAAAATGAATTGATGTATCTAAATTTCTATATCAAAATATATTATATTGAATTAATATACCAACATTTTTCCCATTTAGTGGGAAAATGCTTTGTTGTTGTTATTGTAAATTAATATACCTGCTTCAGACACTGCAATGCAGTGTCCGTTTCCTGGTTCTGTTTTTATGCAGTATCTAATTTGGGCTTCAATTAAAACATGTCGAAATCCAATCTACCTTTCTTCCTCCATTCCAAAAAATCAACTTGCACGTTCCAAAAACAAGACCTGAATTGAAAATAAACTAATTTCAATATTGAAAATAAACTAATTTCAATTTTTCCATTCTTTCTCCTTCTGTATGCGAATTCAAACAACAACACCCTACCCTCTTGATCTCTCATTGCTATTATGAACTCGAATGACAGCGGCTTGTCCAGCCAAGAATTGATGAGATTAAGCATGGATTAATATAATGAAATTCAGTGGTAGATCGATGAGATGTAACAGTTGACCGACAAATTTAGTGGCGGCGATGAGATTTTCGTGCCCACTACTACAACCAAAGAGATTTTTATTGCTGGGCTTCCAATTGTGGATTCATGGCAATTATTTTAAGCAACAAGCATTAATCGCGGAGAGGAGAACAAGTCTTAGTCATGGTTATTCTTGTTGATCAAAGAGAAAAATTTACCACAGTAGTGGAAATGTGTAGTGTTCTTACATGATGACGTGAGTTCGAACCCTATTAGTGGCTAATCTGACATCTAACTTACTAACGCTATTGCTCGACTAAAAAAATTTTTAAAATGTGAGTATGTTATCTATATATAGTAAGAATCATTAGCTCTTGATCCAGGTTGTCGGAACTCCTAGCTATATGTCCTGAGCTTCTTGCTGATATACCTTATGGTTCAAAATCAGATATTTGGTCATTGGGTAAGCACCTAGTATGTGCGAATTTTTCGTCATTGATTATTGTTCTTCTTTAACTGCAATATGTATTGTACTAAACATATTTCGTCCAGGATGCTGTATCTATGAAATGGCTTCTCATAGGGCCGCATTTAAAGCGTTTGTAAGTTTTGTAACTCTTAATCTGTTTCTGTTGTGTGTGTTTTTTCAATCTGTTTCTTGTTAAAGAAAATGTTTTATGTTCCTCCACATTTATACCGTCGGTGGATACCCTACTTGCATTGCAAGTCCATCCAAAGTGCTCTATAGAATGTACAATTCCGTGGAGAACAAGTCTCAGTGGTCAAAAGGAGCGTAGAATATAAATACGTGTAAAGATTTGTAAAGAATGTTATGTTGTTCGAGATGTGAGACTTCAACGTCCTTTCATGTGAACTGTAGTTGACGCAAGGAAGCCATCGTACTTAAAAAGATCTTTGTCGCCTTGTCTGGATCTGGAATTTACATTTCGGCCCAATCAATGTTTAATCCATTGATGACTTGCAATTGAAATAAAGATGTGATATCCACACATCATTTTTTACTTCTAACATACATTTTTAATTTTCGACCGTCGAATTAGATGAATTGAATAAGATCAAATGACATAAATTAATAAAAGGTGTGTGAGAAGTAAAAAATGATGTGTGGATAGCACATCCCTTGAAATAATAACAAAATATATAGGGTTGAAATGTTTTAAACATGTATAAGGTTATAATTGCATCCAAATCTGAGGAGATAAAATGTAATTACTCTTTAAGAATAATTAATGCAATTGTACGTAAATATTTATCTAACAATAAATAATGCAATTGTACGTAAATATTCAACATTGTTATTACACATTATAAGAGAAAAAAAGGGGTTTTTGAACTTTAGCACTTAAAAAGATTGCAATTTAATAAAATAATCTATTGTTAGATTACATATTGATTATAGTCCATAGATGTGTACTTTAATTCATATTCATATTCTATTTTTATTTTATTATCTAATGTGTTTTATTCAATGTTCCCCATTAAAGAAGTTAATTTATTAATGTATTTTATTTAACTTTCTTCAATTATATTCTATAAATGTGCCTAAATGAGAAAATATTAAACAACAGTGACACATAAGAAAATATGTATTGATTCATCAATGAGAGAGAGAGAGAGAGATCTGAGTTATCTTCACGAGCATAAAAGAAGCATTTTTGGGAGAGATGATCATGGGAAATGGATCCTCTTTGGATCCATTATGTGGGAATCCTAGGGATCCTCGCATCTCAACGGTTCATCGTGTATCGTGCGGTTAGAAATTATTTAATTTTTATTATTTAAAATTAAACACAAATAGTAACTGACGAAAACTAGCCGTACAATATAAGATGAACGGCTGAGATGTAGGGATCCCTAGCATAAGGATCCAGAGAGGATCCATTTCCATAATCATGGACTTTTTTATGATTTAATTTGGGGCAAAAAAGTAATTTCATAACTATTTATATGGGCTTGAAACTCAAGTAACATTCCTGATGAAGATAAGAATATTTAAAGAGTAAAGTTTTTATTGATTTTTTACTAAATTTACTTAATTAAAACATTAAAATATAATTAATAAATGAGGTGAAATAATGTATAAAAGGCTGACTGATGAACAAGGGGCTCTTGCCTCTTGGGTGATAAATTTAATCAACTCTCTGCGCGCGAGATCACTCAGTATGAATTATATACATTTCGTCAAAGTTATATTAATATTTTTATCTGATTGACCACATCCTGTGGTTGCCATATATTTTTATTTTTTTGAGAAGTCCATATAGTTGTTTATTGTTCTTCATGTTCAAACACCAGTCTCCATTGTTCAGTAGTTTTAGTTTACATGAAATGAAGTAACGGTGGATGTTGTGCTTTAATTTCACAGCAGGGTATGTTATCTTTAGACTCTATTCTACAGAGAGATGGTCTGGAATCTATATGGGATGGCGATCGTCTCAGTGTTAAGTGCCGGAACATAACCAGGTGAGTGATTCAACCACTAATTTGATATCTTAATTAGATTATGATTATTGTATAGGTAATGAATATCATCTAATTGTTATTTTTATTCTCAAGGTTTGTTTTACAAGAATTGTACGGACGTGACAATGATCGTGGCTCCTTGGATCCGAAATGTATCTTTCTAACAAGTGGAGAAGCAAAGGTAAAATCTTTACCAAATTGGCCAGTGACATTCCGAGAAGAATTCATCCGTTTAATTGGCGACATGCTCCGTCCTAGAAATAACCCGGAAGAATCAGAGCTAACACATTTCATCGAGATGGTCAAGAACAGGAAGTAAGGATTTAGTTTATTAGTATTTACGAAATTTTTAAATATCTTTCTTTTCTTAATAGTAGTAATGACTTCATTTATTTTTACTTCAATTAAAAAAACAGGATAACATTCAAAAAGTTGTTCCATCATCCTCTGCTTCAATCAACTACCGAACGATTTCGTTTTCCAATCCGAGCTATACTTCACTTGAATGATAACAGAAGGAAAACTTGGGAACGAGAGTATGAAAAGTTCGACACAACAGTGGTTAACTTTGATTCACAGATCCAACAATCTATTTATAAAGACGCTTTCAAGTCGCTGCTTAATTATGGGCCGCAGCAGGGAACGGGATACAAAAATACCGTCGTGGGTGTCTTGCATTTCTCAAAGAATGCCGCTAATCACATCTATCAGCATTCGAAAACACGCATGGTATGCTTCTGTTCTGCTTGTCAAGGTGTATTACTGATTAATACTACTAATACTAGAAAAGTAGAAATTAAGTGATCTAAATCATATGTTATAATTTTTTTGTTTTTATATTAGGGGTTTTTAGCTTTAATCCTTGAAAAATATTGAAATTAAATAAAAACCTGGTGTTAAATTACTTATTGATTATAGTCCTTTGATGTGTTCTTAATTCAAATTATTTAATGTGTATTTTATCCAATGTCTTCCATTAGAATATTTGAATTTGTTAATATACACATTTATTTTTTTTTTTATCAAAAAAGTTTTTTTTTAATTTATTAATTTTATTTAACATTCTTCAAACTTGAAAAACTCAATTAATGTACCTAAATGTTAATACCGAAATGTATCATCTTGAATTAATGTACCTAATTGTACCGAAATGTATATACTAAAATGTATGTACCGAAATATATGCACCGAAATGTATTATATTGAATTAATGTACCTAAATGTGTTGTACCAAAATTGATGTACTAAAATATATTAAATGAATTAATGTACCTAAATAAAGAAGACAAAGTATATTGAAATATATTGTATAACAAAAATTAGTTTACCTAAATGTTTACAACAAAATATATTATGATGAATGAAATGAAAATAATAATTATAATTAAATATAATTAATACATTAAAATTAGGAAGAAAAAAGAGAAACAATTTTTTGAGTACATCGATATTTTTGCACTAAGGGGAGGAAGAGTTCGGCTAAGCCACACAATGGACAACCTAATTTAGTATCGAATTCGTCATTCACGAGATTCGAACCTAAGACCTTTCACTTCCAAGTGAAGAGGAATATCACCAAACTATAGTATAGAGTGGCAAAAGAGAAATAATTAAAACAATAGAATATAATTAATAAATGAGGTGATTAATGTGTCAAGGTATTAAAATTAAATTTTGATTTTATAGTTTTAGTCTAAAAGTTTTCTTTGCTAAGGATTAGAATAAAGTTTCCTATTTATATTATCATATTATTTGATTCATATGCAGCCTGAAGAGGAAATCGAGAACGAGCTGACCAAAATGTTTCCAACTCGACTGATCGATTTTGTACGAGTTTCTAGTTAACACGACTAGTAGCATGGATTTTCTTCTTGACTGAAATACTGAGGTAATATCTCGTATATGTCTATGCAGATTAACACCGATTGCATAGGTTTTTTTTATGATATCTATTATTATTTTATTGATACAATAAATAGAGATTAAAAATAGTTTTTTTTTTAATGATATCGATTATTATTTTATTGATACAGTAAAGAAGAAAAGAAGAGGAGGAGGAGGACTCTTATTGGGTGTTATCATTTGCTGGCTTCAATGGCATCTGAACCTAGTTTTCATGGAGTAACGTTCACTAAAGTCAGTAATATTGGATGTATCACTTGTTTTTGGCGTTCTTTTTGTTTGGGACTCAACTTTTGGTTGGGCTTCTTTTGGTTTGTTTGGTTGACCCACTGCCGTTTGTTTGTGTGGTTTTTTTTTGTTCTGTTTTTGGGCCTGTGTTATAAAGTTTGTTGTTTGTAATGAAAGTCACCTTTGATCAAAAGAAGTAAAATACCAACCCGGCCTTGTGGAAGAATGAAGACATAATATTCTTTTAGATCTAGGTCTAAAAACATAAGCTGTGTTTTTTATTTTTTTTAGTGAGTCTAGTTATCTAATTAAATGTTTTTATCTTTTATACTCATTTTATATTGAAAAAAATTAGAGAATTCTGGGCCTCCACTTCAAATGCTTGCCTAAGCCCTCAAATTCTCAAGGCCGGGCCCGTATCATACTACTCAGGGTGTGTTGTGTTTCTATTGGGATTTTGGACAGAAAACTAGAACAAGGAATGAATCAATGAGCACCTTAAAGAGAGAAAAAAAAAACAAAAAAAAACTTACCCTGCGTCCGATGGTGGCTCACGATTACTTCCCGGCTGCTTTCGAGACGCTGATGAGTGTATACAAAATTGGCGTAATTCCTTCTTTCAGCATTTTTGTTGGAATAGAATTGATTAATTCGGACACATCTCTATAATTGTAGCATGTATTATAAGAATGTTATTCTCAATTGTAATTAGTATCGGATTCTTACTTAAATAAAAGATCATATATATATATATATATATATAATCATAATACTACTGCATGCTAGTTTCCTAGCCTTGAAGATAGCAAACACTCATACCCAATCAAACAAACAAACTTAATTTTGGTGCATTAACTTTAAACTTAGTTTTGGTGCACTAACGGTATAAACTTAAAAAGCAGATAACAAAAAAGACATCCAATCTGTTTCGAACTCAAAACCTTTAAAAATAGGAAACATTAGTAATATTTTAATTTTATAGATAAAAATTTGAAAAATAACAAATAATAAAGAAAATACAACATTAAAATAATGAAGATCCTCAATTTAAATTTTGTCTCCTGAGAGCAAAAATCTACATCAACAATAACGAGAAAAAAAATATTACTAATGTTTTCCAATCGAAATGCTAATTTATACGTAGCATAACATGAAAAGGCAGTAAAAGCTAAGCTCACTCGTGTACATAATAATATCTTTGATCCAAGAAAACAAAAAAGGAGATCTCGCAAAGGTATCAGACTTGACGCCTCCTACAACAACCTCTATTTTCCCCAATTCAACACAATCCCAGAATAAGCAAATTTATCCCACCATATCGCAAAAGAACTTAAACCCATAAAGGAACAAACCGCTCTCTGTCACCGTCAAATATTTTCCTCTGCGGCATTTCATCACGACGACCTGTGCCGAAATCCGAGCATTTCGAATAGGCACGAGCTACATGGTTCAACACGTCCAGCAAGTTCTGGTCCGAAGGCTCGGATTTTAACGCCGACCCATGAACAGATTTCACTTCTACCACACAACCCATGTCGTCGCAACCATGCAAGATAATTGCTAAAAAAGCTTTGAAAAATGAAGCCAACTCCTTTGATTTGCTGGATACTTTTTCTAAGAAACTCCTTTTACGAAAGAAGCCAGAAAACTTCCTATAAAACTCCTCTTTCAAGAAGCCAACTATAAAACTCATCTTCATCTTTCAAGGCAAGAAAATGGCAAAAAGGAAAAAACTAAAGAAAAACAGAAGAAAAAAAAAGTGTTAATCTTTAAACAGACAAAATTTAGGGATAGGCATATCTGATAAGCATCTTTGATCCGGCATTGATGAACCATTCAATCCAACAAAAATCCACCTCTCAATTTCTCATACTACAAGAACCAGATTAAAAGCTCCACAAATAGCAAAACCAAAGAAAACCCATATCAAATTAGATGAAGATTCACTTAATTAGAACCCAGAAAGGCAGGAAGCTCAAATACCCATGAATAAAGCAAGCATTTTATCCAAAAATAAAAGTTTTGAAGGAGTCTGCAGTAAAAAGACCAAGTTTTTGGTGATGGCGAAGAAGAAAACCCAAAAGGCAGTGATAAGAATTTGTGAAATCAATCCAAAGAGAAAGAAGTAGGAGAAGAAGCAATACCTTCACTTGGGAGAAGCTGGCCAGAGAAGGAGAAGCAATGCTTTCAGTTTTAGCGTATTTTGAGAACCGACTAAATAATACCGAGGTTTTGGAGCAGAAACAGAGCCGTATAAATAGGCTTGCCCTAATAAATTATCCGGTGGCTATTAACATATAATAGCACCAAACACCGGAGTCGTATAAAACTCATCTTCATCTTGAATTCAAGGCAAGCACGGAGGTTGAAAATATATATGTATTAAACAATAAAAGATAAAACTCCTTTCAGTTAGAGAAGAAGCAATACTTTCAGTTGGAGAGACGATGGCCGCACAGGCAGATCTCCAGAGAAGGGTTGGGGAAAGACGCAATGCTTTCAGTTTTAGCGTATTTTGAGAACCCGGCTAAATAATACCGAAGTTTTGCAGCGAAGTTAAACGGAGCCATATAAATAGGATTTGCCCTGACAAACAAACCAATGGCTATTTAATGCGCAACAGCACCAAACACCAGAGTCCTATAAAACTCATCTTCATCTTGAATTCAAGGCAAGCACGGAGGTAGAAAATATAGTATGTATTAAAAAATAAAGGGGTTTTATTATAAATGATTTCTGAAATTGAAAATCAATCAATGTAATTCTTGAAAATAGATGTATCAAATCAATGTGGTCATTTCGTCACAATTCTGTTCAGTGTTGATGTGACGTAAATGAGCCCCACAAGATTTACGGGGTTTTATTACAAATGATCCCTGAAATTGAAAATCGATTAATATAGTCCCTGAAAATAGGTGTTGCAAATCAATATGGTCATTCTGCCATTCTGCCCCAATTCTATATAAAAAAAAATATTATGTACTGATATGGGTTTAATAATTTAATAATTAATTAAAAATTTGTCTAAATATTTTTTCCACAATAGATTTTTTTTCTTCTTATGATAGGGCCTATTCCAAAGAGATATCCTTTAATAAATTCTCAAATGCACAAGACTTAACCAAGGTCTAAGAGGGGGTTTGGAAATAATTTTTAACCAACAATAGATGCACCTTTGTTAAAACCTTATTATTTCAAGGCAGATCTCCTTGTTCCCTGTGTCACCAGACCACCAGGGAAGCGCCCAACAAGCTATCCAATATTAAGGTTGTGAGGATGTTAATCGTCTAAATATTAACAGTGATGTCACAGAAATCGTCACCAATCCAAGTTGTCACCAAAGGTAATCTCGATCTAGGTCCAATTAGGTGAAGGATGTCAAAGTGTGTAAATATGGGTGTATTAAGATTTCTTTTAGAGAATAGACAGCAAATGCTACCATAGATGGAGGTAGAGGAATGTGAACTGAGATCAGAGGTGATTGGGGGACTAGGTTTTTGGGTTGACAACATTTTTATTAATTATTAAATTATTAACCTATTTGTAATTTTTTTTAATTGAATTAGACTTGTGTGACATATTTATATGTCACATCAACACATAATATTTTTTTTTATCTATAGAATTGTGACGGAATAACTACATTAATTTGAGAGACTTACTTGCGTGACTACATTGGTCGATTTTTAAATTTAAGGGACCATTTTGATGTCTCGAGTCAATTTTAGAGACCATTTTGATGTCGCAAGTCAATTTCAAGGACTAGTTGTGATTAAAAAAAATAATACTTATGTGGCCCATTTATGTGCCACATCAACATTTCACATAATTTTTAATATAATTGTGGTGGACGGACCACATTGATTTGCGACACCTATTTTCAGGGACTACATTGATCGATTTTCAATTTCAGAGACCATATTGATGGTGAGAGTCAATTTCAGGGACCATTTGTGATAAAAACCTAAAAATAAATAAAAAAGCTCCTTTATTAAAGAAGCCAGCTACTTTGATTTCAGATATACTTGATTGAACTGCGAAATTAAATTGAACCGCTACAAAATAAACCATTAAAAATCGTGTTGACAAAAAAAAATCAACGTAGGTTCAAAAACCGGACCGAACCGTTCATACCGGTTGCAGTTCTTATGTTGGTAGAACCGTTTAAAACCAAACCGAACAGTGAATATAAATAATTAAATAAATTTAATAGTTATATACAGATGTCACTAAATGAGTGTGAAAATCAAACTGGTTTTACCTAGTGCGATGCCACGTGAGCATTTCTCAATTAGGTCTTTCACTTGCATGGTTCACTTATTGAGATAAGGCACATATTAAAAAAAAAAAAAAAAAAAAAGAAAGAGGAGGTAATTTTCTCTCCTACTTTGACATTCAGGTTTGGATTTCATATTTTTCCTAGATAGAATGACCTAAAGGTGTTAAGTTACATCATACTTTTTTCTTTCCCTTTTTCCTAGGCCTTCTTTTTTATTCTCTTGATAAGTCCCTTTTGTACTTATAATATTGTATTTATACTAACATTTTTACTGCATGGTGGATATATTTGTATGTGTGAATGTATATTTGTAATATGAATATATATGTACATTTGAATTGTGTTTTTATTTTTGTTTGCTTGGTGTGAAATTTTGGTTTAGTATTTGAAAATGATATGTTGTGTTTGTAACTTTGTATAATCATTTTAGAAGTCGTATTTGAACACTAGCATGCAAAAAAACAAGAAAACGAAAACAAGTAAACTTTAAAAATCATTTTGATTTGATATTCAAAGGATTTAGTATTCGAAACTGTAAACCAGTATAAGAGTGTCTAAAACTAACGAAATAAAATCAGAGTTTTCTAGCCACTTTCTCTGAAAACAAAAAGGAACTCTCGGTACCGTGGATAACTGACTAAAAACCAAAAGAAACGGGTAATAATCTGAAAATATACGAGACAAAGTATTTAGATTCAGAAGAAGCCCGTGAGTAAACCAAATTAAAATTACCACAAAATGCATTTCAACATTTCAACCATTGTAGGAAAGTGGCTTCTTTTTTTAAAGCCAGCTCCTTTGGTGTTTTTTTTTTTGGGGGGGGGGGGGGAACCATTGTAGGAAAGTGGCCTTTTTTTTTTTAAAGCCAGCTCCTTTGGTTTTTTATTTTGGGTTAACGCCAACTCCTTCCGATTTCGCATCTACTTTATGACAATGTAATCATATCCCACCTCTTTTACTGAAGCAAATTCCACTTTATTATAGGCAACTGCTCTATGGTAGTGGCGTAAAGTCGTACCACTACTACTTTATTAAAAATTCCACTCTCTATAAAAAAAACTATGATTATCTTCTCTTTTTTTTCATCTCTTTTCATTCATTCCTCTCATTAAAAATTACACTCTCAATAAAAAAACTATGATTATCTTCTCTCTTTTTTCATCTCTTTTTATTCCTACCTCTCATATTATCTTCTCTTTTCATTCATTTCTTTCACATTTTTATTATATCTTTCTCTTTTTATAAAAAAATTCATATATAATATTAACGTGATTTAATTATGATCGTTCAAATAAAAAAAAGATAAGAGGAAGAAAAAAAAGGAAGAGAATCCTTCTCCCATGAAAAAGCCAACTTCTTTGAATTCAGACCTACTTTATGACAATGTAGTCATATCACATCTCCGTTTATTAAAGAAAATTTCCCTTTATTAAAAGCAAATACTTTTTGGTGGTGGGGTGACGTCGTATAACATCTACGAATGCTCGATTACAATTTTCCCTCAACAAAGTCTAGATTTAACAATTTTTTATACGATCTGTTAACAAGATATGTAAATGGTACAAAAATAATAAGTTTCGAATCTACATGATAACTAATTGGGTTGTTATTGGGTCACATGATAAGAATCCGTTAATAATGGGTTCTTAATAGGTTTATATAAGAGTGACAAGCGGATAACCCGTTTCGAAACGTTAAAAAAAATTTTATTTTAATAGTTTTAATTTTTTAAACTACTAAAAAAAAACTTACTAAAATACAATAGGCACAGTGTATATGTGACATCCCACATCGCCCAAGGGAGTGATCCTTAAATGTATATTCTCATCTCTACCTAGCACGAGGCTTTTTGGGAGCTCACTGGTTTCGGGTTCCGTAGGAACTCCGAAGTTAAGCGAGAAGGAAGCCAGAGCACTCCCAGGATGGGTGACCCACTGGGAAGTTGCTCGTGAGTTCACAAAAATAAAACCGTGAGGGAATGGTAAGCCCAAAGCCGACAATATCGTGCTACGGTGGTGAAGCGGGTCCGGGAAGTGGTTCGCCCCGAGGCGGGATGTGACAGTATATGTATATATTGTATATTAAAATAATTAATATTCTATATAAATTTAAAAATTTTAAGTTTTATTTATTTTTATGATATATTATAGGCAAAGAGTGAGATTAGAAAAATTATAAAACACATTAAAAACAAAAATATCAAGTAAATTAAAAATACTAAACACATTAAAATAATATATAATAATTAATTTACAAATGCGAAAAATGTGAAAAAAATATGCAAACCATACAAAGCCTCATGAATAATATTTTTAAGGTAGTTCAAAATAAACCAATATTATTTTGAAAATAACAGCCAAGTGGTCACTCGGACTTGTCTGCTTCTGTAAGTAAGGCATCCGGATGCCGACCCTATGGTTAACAACTTTACAAAGATTCTACGCCAACACATGCGGCTGCCTAGGCTACGTGGGCATGTCTGCTTATAAAAAAAGTATCACGCCTGCCTCTAGTCTATAAAGTCTAAGGTTAAGGTACGAGCAAAAGAAGCGAAGATGGAGAAAAACGAAGGAAACAAGTTTATTAAATTTTCTAACAAAATTGATAAACAACTTGCAAAGACTGAAGGAGTTCAAGCAAAGCAAATGCAGCAAGGAAAACAAAGAAAATCCTAAAGACTACCTAGAAGATTACTATTCAACAGCTTGAACACTCCACAACTACTCGGTCGCCATACCTTCAGCAGTCGCGACCTCCTCAGCAGCGGCACCATCCGACGATTCACCCCCGGCTGCTCTAGCTTAGGTTTCAACTTCTTCAACTACTTCACCAATATAAGACTCAAAAGTAAAGGCGAGTAAGTCTTCCAGAGAAATAAAGAAGGTCTCAAAGTCTTTACCAGAAAACCCAAAGTTAGACGGCCGCCCAAAGAGATGGTCTACATAACCCAGCTTGTAGAAATCAACTTGACTCTGAGTAAATGAAGCCTCGAACCATTTCTTCTCACCCTTTAAATGCTCATTCTCCTCGAGCAGATGAGCACAGACGCGCTGCAACTCCTCCACTTCCTTCTTCAAATTGTCATTGATCTTCAAAACGCCCTGAAGCTCCAACACTTGAGGTTCAAGCCTATCAACGACCTTCTTGAAGTGGATCACTTGGTTTTAAGTAGCGATCAATTCTTCATCCTTTGTATAAGCAGCAGAGCGGAACTCAGAGACGGTACGCTCAAGATCTTGAATCTAAGGTACGTAACACTCAAGCTCATTCTCTGCACTTTCATACTTAACTTGGATCGCGTCAAGCCAAGTCTTCAAATCCACAATCTCTTGGCGAGCGGTTTCAAACTGCAAAGAAGTGGGGGCAGAGATATTAGACCCCTTCAAATCTTTTAAAGCTGTGAGCTCAGATTCCAACATTTTGACTTTTTCGATCAAGGAGTACGCCTTGGCTGCCACATACCTTGCCACTCCCTTGGCATCCTTGATGTCTTCTTGATTAAGGAGCATAGACTCGGTTGTATGCTTCGCAAATAAACTAGGGCCAACAACCCCTTTGATGCCATCAACAAACTTGGCACATGTCTCTATGTCCTCAAGCAGATCTGGTTTCAAAAGCGCACAAATCTCAGCTATTTCCCTAGAAACAGACTTGGTGGATTTCTCACATCTGCCCCGCACGAGCAGTTTCCTTCTTCTCAGCGGACGAATCAGACTCAACAGCAGAGGGAACGAGTTTTGACGCCACTGTAGTAGGCAGGGGCACCTTGTCACTCTTCATAGAAACAAGCCTCTTTAAAGGTGAACCAGATTTAGCTCTAGATGGACGTTTTGGCACGAATTTCGACACCAAAAGCTCGAAAGAGCTTCTACGTTGGGCAATCCTATCAACAATCGAACTAGCAGCCTTCGGAACGGCAGGCGTCACTGGCACAGATCTAGTAGTCTCAGTCGCAACTGGTACAGATCTAGCAGCTTCCTCTTTCTTTCCCTTGGAAGACGTCAAGTCAATCACAAGCTTGGGAGCAGCCGGTGAACCATTGCGAGCAGTAGAAGAAGTCTTTGGCTTCTTCTCAGCAAGCGTCTCTTGAGCAGGTAGGGAAGGTATCTTTTTCCCACCTTCATTTGCAGCAGGCTCCACCACAATGATAGAACGAGCCAATGCATCAGCCTTAATTCGTTTTATCTTATCTCTCGAAGGCAGCCTACCTTTATCCTTACGAAGAGGACTAAGCAGCCAACGTCATTCCCGGTACTCGGAGGGGATACCCAGAACGACATGCACTTTCTTCATGTCTGGAAAAGTCTTAGGAGTGGAGCCGAATTCTGAATTTGCAAAAGCAGCGTGAGACAATCAGCAAATTAAATATCAGCTTGGCACAAATACAAATCAGCCGAGAGATTAAACAGTTTACTTGTTGGATATGAGGACCGTTGGAACATGCAGCTCGGGGGAAGAATCAGACTCTCATTCTTCACTTATCTCCAAAGTCTCATTGGCCCAGTCATGATCTCCCTTGCTCGAGTTATCAAAAAGCCTATGGCGAGATCGCAACTGCCCAACTCCCTCAATGTGGCCTATGTCAAAAAAGTACCAAAATTAATTGACGGTTAGATCTAAGTAAAAAAATTGGCTTAGATTGTGGAATCACACCATTACACGGACCGCATTCAGAGAACATTGAGTAAGGGCACACCATCATCATTCTTGTCGCTTGAGGAAGACATGCTTGAAGAAATTCTACAAAGACACAAGAAAGATTCGTTATATGGCTGCAAAAAAATTAAAATAAAAAATAAAGATGAAGGCCTAAGCCGCAGGAGCCAAGCACCCATACTCCCACAGCGTGACCTGTCCTCCCTCGCCCGCAGGCCTCACGGCCCGACTCCAGCTTATCCAGCGCCAAGCTCAGACCACCAAGCCACCCAAGGCAGCCCTTGTGCTGAAACCTTTCCCAAGTTTTCTCAAGCCTCCTCAACCCCCGTCGAGCCAATTTCAAGCCCCGAGGCTCCCAAAAAATTAAGAGGACAATAAAATTAATTTTTTTCCTTAACTGGAAGTAATGAGAAGATAAGGCAAGCAACGAAAGATGATCATTTGCATAGACAAGATGTAGAAGATTGCTAGAGGAGGGGGAACAAATATCCTCTAAGCTCTATCTCTCTCTTGTAGAGTAGAATAAATCGCTCTCCAAAGTTGATTTAATAATCTACTTAAGGTGGATTTAATAGGCTTTGAGAGAAATTTATTTCTCTTTCCTAGACGGATCTAATTTCCTATTAAAGAGGGAATCTACATTAAAATAGGAAACAATCTTATGTTTCTTAAAGCAAGAAGATCTCTACACCTGCTGCCCTTTCCTACGAGCAGCCCAACAGGTGTGGGGGCATTTGTGGAGCCAAAAATAATCAAGAGGAATATGGAGGTAACACGTGGATTTTAGGGTAAATATGACAAAAATACCCTTGAGAAATACCGAAACTCCTATGCTCGAGCAGTTGACAATCATCCCTCAATCAAGTCAAAAGTGCCCAAAATAAGTATTTATTCAAAACCTATATCATCCATCCTCATCAAATCTTCCCTACAAGGTAACTCCCAAATTATTTCTTTCAAATTATATTAATTGGCTAATTAATTGATTTATTACTCAATTAATTCATTAATTAGCTAATTGATAACAATTAAACCCAAAAAATACCACATATGGCCGGTCCCTATTCTCTTAATAGGACTGGCCATATCCCTATATATAGCTCCTCATTCTCTCCAAAACATAGGTTCTACACTCTTGCAAAATTCTCTAAATTCTCCAAACACTTTTCCCTTAAAATTCTAACTTTGGCATGAGAGGTTCTTCGGCCAAAGCCCCCCCCAATTCATCGTGGAAGCGTGAGGCTCTTGGCCTTGACCTAAGGTGTTGTTTGTTTTGTAGGTGTAATTTTGTCCAATAACAAGAAGGAAGAAATTTGCATCTACAGCAACAACGAAGTATTATTTGACGTATTTCTTCTTAACATACTGCATTAAATATGATAGGCCTCAGATGATGGGATTGAAGGTTCTCCTTCCACCAAAAAGCTCCGGATCCTCTTTGTGAGGATTTCGAAAATCCGTGAATCGTGTCCGTTCATCGTACATCGTGCGGTCAGAAATCATTCTAAATATTTTTATTTAAAATTAAACATAAACAGTACCTAATAAAATCTGATGGCACGATGTATGATGAACGGACAAAATTTACAGATCCCCAAGATCCTCACCAAAAGAACCGGAGAGGATCCAACACTGTAAGTAGTACCAATTTTAATAAAATACAAAAAATACATTAGTTTTCGTTTCTGGTGGAACTTGCTTATCATACTAAGTTTCTTCTCGTTTCCAGAAAGAGAATGGACATTCTTCCCTTTCTTCTCCGTCTCAGCAGTTAATTAATGAGTTCATCAGCTCTAGTGTAATTATGGTGCCTGATGTTGACAGGGATTCGCTTCCTTGTCTTATTAAGGTACATGGGACAATCAATTGTACTAATAGAAAATTGATGAACCGAGATTTGTTCTCTATTTTCGTGAAAGCTTATGAAACTCTTGTTGCTTTTAGATAATATGATTGTCCAGTGTCTGACTTAAAGCTAAATGAGGTTTTTGAGTTTGTTGGAGTTTTCACTTTCGATTCAGAGTTTAAAGAGGACAAGGATGAATCAGATGATTTCACAAATGGTTTTAGCAAAGACGAGCAACGGGTAATCGTTAGTGAAGGTGACAGCAGCCGAATACTGGGCATACAGGGCCTCCTTCATGTTCACCTCAGCGAACTGGCTTTGATATTTGTCAGGATCCAGCAGCGCCCGCACGATGCTGCGGGGTTGAAAATACTACGAAAATTTTGTATAATTATGTACAAAAGATAATATACGTGATGTGTACGCATACTATTTACGTATAAAAGTATGTCAATAGATTTGGTGGTAGTCTTATTTACATACAAAGGATAAATACTCAAGGTGTATGCACACAATATTTACATAACTATAGATTTACCATATTGTCCTATTTGTACAGCAAACGTCTCTTTGACCGTCGGACTCGTGAAATTTAAGAGATCTGTCAATTGGTCCCTTACTTGGATTGCACACTGCATCAAGTTAAAGCTCGCACCAACAGGAGAAAGATACCATGCTACATCTTATTTGTGTACCACAGATACAGTCAAGCAGTTGGGATTTCTGCCATCTTCAATAAGGAAAATTGCAGCTTCTGGGACATGAGAAACGAGGAAAAAAAAAGTTGGACTCTATAATGTGTATTTGCTTAATGGTAAATCTGTGGTGCAACTATAAATAACAGCGGTACCTTGAGGTGCAATTATAAAATTACAGTAGAAATATAAACTTGCAATTCAAGTCTATGCACCTGGTAGAATTTAAAATGTTTACCTATTAATCGTCTACCATTAAGTTGTTAAACTCCAATTCCACCAAAACGAACACTACTGTTCCCCTTGGCATCAAATGAAAGCTGCATATGAAATCAACGTCGTATAGTATTATAACATTTAACCATATTGATGATGTTGAAGTGAATAATTAAAATGAAGAGTAAACATAGGCATACAATAGACTAGAAGTATCAATATTAAGGACATAGGTGTATTTGTACCCAATTTTGCAGTTCCTTGAGAAGTGTATGTATTGAAAAATAAAAAGCTAAATATAGAGAAACTATACATTACATGACACAGAAAAAGCGCCACTTTGTAATCACTTTCATATATAACTGGGAGAATTTACCCAAGAAATGGGTTAAAAAATTATGGAAAGATGAGAACATGAGAATAGGACTGATACCAATATGGACTACCCATTTCAATTTTTGTGCTTTGTTAAATTGCATACCAAAGTAGTATTTTAGTATTACTGCTTATTCTAATAAGTAATGATAAACAAATCACTGTATTTCCCAAAACAACAAATTAGAACAGAATGTAATCAAATAACATCGTAATGTCAAAGGGATGTCCTCCACCACTCAAACTCTCCACATCAAAATTGAAAATTTCATTGCTTTCAAACAACAACAAAAAAAAAAAAAGCTGAAAAGAGAGAAAAATAGTAAATCAACTTAATTCCGTAGAAAATCGAGAGACACACTGCAGGACTCCGTGGTTGTTATAAGTGCATTGTATATGAAGACTATTGTTGCTAATCTAGAAATCCAGGATTGGGTGTAGCTAGTGGTACTGACATAGAGAAGGAGTAATCCACCCTTATTGAAAAAAGGCTATACATGTAGTTTGTGTAGACTACAAAACCTTTTTGAGTGGTGGATTATGTGGAAATTTATTTGATGATAATATAAAAATCTTCTGGACTGTGCATACTAAAATGAGAGATTGCGAAGGTGTAGAGATGAGCCAAGGATTAACAGACTCGTACCCAAACAGTTTTGACACTTTCTTCTATGTATGCTTTACACACACACACACACACACACACACACACACACACATACTACAGACATATCAATTTAATACATGTCTGCAATTGGGAACGACTTGCACAATTCAAATGGATCAATTCTGCAATGGAAATATCGATGGCAACCAAGTTAGTAAATTTAGTATTAAAGTTTCAAAGTTCTTACCCAAGTTTGACCAAATTCCAGCTTGTCCACAACAATTTCAGTTCGTACAGCCTCAGATGACCATCACGAAGACAAACACGCAACACGAAATGAATCAATTACCTAAAATTTTATAATTATATGCATTAAATGGCAAAGGCTGTTGAATATGTCACGTGAACTTAAGATTTTCTTGGTCTTGGTTGTTGGCATAATTGCTGGTGTATGCCTATAAGTGAAGGCAATATTCATGCATTGTATAAGCATCTGGAGGAGAACACAGAGGAGAGAGAACAGAGAGTGAGAGTGAGAGTGAGAAACTCTTCGGGTAGAGTGAGCTTTTGGGAAAATTCTGCGAGTGGGTGTACAAGGGATTCGGGTTTGGGTTATGTCAATTTAACTCAAGTGTATCTTGTACTAGTTATTCTCATAGTGAAAGCAATATCTCTCCAGGGACGTAGGCAAGATTTTGCAGAACCTCATAAATCTCTCGGTGTCCTTATTGCTTGTAATTTATTCTATTCAACTGTAAGTTTGTATTTTGGTAAGGTTGTAATCGGAATCTCGCACTGATAGGCCAAAGCACAACACACTTGCCCCCTAATAAGGTATTGGTTCGTCTTGCATTTATGAAATTGTTGGTCTCCATTTATAAGAAAAGACTAAATCTTGCACGTTTTGTTTTGTGCAGCTTGTTTGTTTGTACTTGTTATTGGACTATATATTGTTTCACATTTTTCCCTTGGTGCAGGTACCACGTCTCCACTGCTTTATTCACAGGAAACTTGCAGCTCACGACTTCCTTCCTTGTTCCCCTACAATCGAGGTGATTTTGTGCTCATTATGGTCTCATATTTCCTCAAACAAAGGACTTCTATGCCTGTCTGCGTGTGTATATGCTAACCTGGGATCTGTCAATTTCCCCCTTCCGCATTCTTCCCTTAATTACGTAGATATTGTGTTTGACAATGCTATTACTGTCTATCTTATAGCCAAAGCCCAACTTGGTGAAAGAGATCAGGGAATCTCTCTTAAGGCATCTTACCGCTGTTGTTGGTAATGATGGCATAGCTGCTAATTTCATGCTGTTGCATCTCTTGTCCAAGGTAAATGGTCCTTCTCATATCAAAATTTTCGGTGTTGGATCCACATGATGATGCTTTAACATTTTTTTTGTTTCATCGTGTCGTTTGATTCGTGTATTATTTCAGTCCCTTATATGAAGATTATCTCAGCTTGGCCTTGCTCTCAAGAATCTTTTACCTTTCACACAATGTATATCCCTAACAGTGGATTATCTCAAGTCTCAACATTGCTTCCCTTGCGCCAAGAAAGGATTAAGAGACCAGCAGGTAATGAGATTTCTAAGTCTGTACCTTAGTGTCAGTTTTGTTCTAGTTTTTAACTTTTCACATTGCTCCAGGCTGATAACCGGAGCCCTGCAGCTGGCTGAGGGTTCACACATGATATTTGATGAGACCCGGTTGGAAGCTGGCATTCTTAACTCTGTTGGGGTTGAAAATGCAAGATTGCTTAAAACTTTAATAGAGTCGCAAAAGGTGATTTTTCTATTCTATTATACATGTGTCAGTTTATAGCACCGAAATGCACACTGAGGCATGATACTTTTTAATTTGTCCTCTTCAGGTGGAATATGATTTCAAGTTCTATAAACTGGACATGCCAGCAGACATCCAAATCCTTGTTCTTTCGGAAGGCAAATCAAACATTTTGCCAGCTGATGTAGTGTTACCTTTCCATCCTTCTTCAGTGGCTTCTGTTGACATTACTGCAGAGGCACTAGAGGCTTGGAGATGGTACTTGGCTTCTCTTAGATCATTGCCACATTCTATTGAGCCAGAAATACAGAAGGTAAGAGTTGCTTTGGATGATTTTATACCCTGAAATTGCTACTTCAATAGAGTTAGGAACTTAGGATTACTAATTTAGTTCAGAAATGTTTTTCTCCATGTACAATGAAATGATGGATCCGCCTATAGTTTATGTCGTTGTCTGAAACCTTACAGGTGATAGAAAATGACTTGGTTGCGGCAAGGCAGGAAGATAGGACACTGGGAACCCAAGATTTCAGCAGGTTAGGGACTGAAAGATATGCAAAATGTTCTTTCTTCTTTCGAGATTAGTTAGTCATTCATTATTTTCTTGCTCGTGCTTGCAGATTGCTGACAATGGGTCGATTGATGTCTATGAGTTTCGGTGAAACCTCCCTATCATTAGAACACTGGCAGATGGTCAAGGAACTCGAGAGGTTACGAAGAGAGAGACTCAAGTGAATGTACTATTCACCACTGAGATTTGTTGTTACCGGCCACAGGTGCAGATGTTTTTGTAAGAAAATATTGTGCCATTAATGTTAACATGCTCTGCCAATTTACATCAAATTTCATACTCTTCAAACTCTGGAGTGGACCCTTTTTGTCTGGTTTACTGAAATACCTCTTTAGGTTTTCTGATCGAATGAGGAGTAACACTAACTTTCTTCAAAACTTAATATGTTGATGTCCAAAATCGGATCAACGATGTTAAAACCGCTAAACGCAAGTGTTAACGTCGATCACCCAATACTATTCAAGTTCCGCACACAAGATACGACCCAATTCTCAATTCCCTTAATCAACTTGCAAGTAACACAGAGGATAGAGAGGGAGGGGGAAGGAAGAGAGAGAGCAGAGCTCTTGAATATTTTTTGTTTATATTTCTGTTTGTAAATTCTGATCTGCCACATTTGAGGGAGCTGGGCTTCTTTTATACAGACTCTACTTCTTAAAACGCCAGCTGGCATATTTAACAATTCTTAACACTTCAATTAAAGCATAAACCTCAATTACATTTTGGGTTAACAAACGAATTATATTCAAACCGTCTTGAGAACCTGTCTACTATACAGGTAGAGAGATTTCACAGGCCATCTTATTTCTCATGTCAATCACTTTGGTTTAAAGCACGAGTACATGATCACTTTTTTAGAGTATCGATAACAGTTTTTAAAAACGAAAATTAGTGAAACAAATAAGTCTTCGTACTAAACTAAAGCATATAATTTTTTTTTTTGAACAAATGATATTATCTATACTAATGGAAAGGAGGTGAGCTTAGCCTTACAATGGACTAACAATAATGTGGTTCAAATTCGTCTTTGTCGAAAATCGAACCTAAGACCTCTCATTTATAAGTAAAAATGAACATCGCTAGACCGTAGTAATAAATGGGAACCAAAGTATATAATTAAGAGGGAAGTACAATTTTGCCCCAACTGGGTTCAGTACCTACTTTAGGGTATGAGTGATAAAATCTGCATACCACATCCAAAGGTACAAAATACATCGTCAAATTTGGAAACAATAGTACTTGTGTTCCTCTCATAGAAGAACTTACATGTCCCTCTATTTACGATTAACAATTTTTTAATAAACTAACTTTTTTTTTTGAGGGATTTAATAAACTAACTAGACATGGCATTCGTGTCGTGTTTTCCGTGTTCGTGTCGTTTTCGTGTCATACCCGATATCTTAACGGGTCGTGTCGTGTAACACCCGTTAAAATAAACGGGTAAAATGACCCGACCCGAAATCGACCCGATAATATTAACAGGTAATATGACCCGACCCGTTACCCGTTAAGGAAAATATATTTTAAACCAATAAATAATCAAATGAAAAACATAATACTAAATAAGTATATACATTTCATATTATCACATCCAAAACATAAAAACGCAATTTTGTTTTAAGTATATTTTCGCTTACCTAAAGTCTTTAATAGTTTTTTTAATTAATGTAAAGCCCCAAATTGATTGTAAGAAACCCAGCTGATAATAAATAATGAACCGATGAGCTTAATCTGCTGAGAAATTGACAGGGCAAGGTATGCGAAGCAAATACCCAGCTGCGTGGGAGCCGACTTCCGTTGCCCCCTCGAGTCGCCAACTAAACGAGGCCACTAAGCTTCTTGTCCGCTACGCCCTGTCCGCATTCCGCGACTGCGACTGGTTCGCAGAACCGGTCGACTTCATCACTGATGCAATAATGGCCGATATATGCGAGTAGGGTCGAAGGCTCTGTCCTTCTATGGGTTTTGGCTCTATCTCCCTTTTGTATTGGATGTGCATCCGTAGGTCCTGATAAGCAAAGATATATCCCAACTTTATAAACAAAAAAATTAAACCTGCCCTACCACACAAAATAAATTAAAAAATACATATGAAATTAAAAAGTAGAAGGAAATAAATTTTAAGAAATAAAAATATTTAACAGCCACCAATCATTGGTGGCTGAATATTGAAGGCCACCAACATCAGTGGCATCCCATGGTAAAGCCACCAAAAAATTGTAAGAGTAGCAGCTTTACATATATGGCCACCAATTGCAAAGGGTGGGAAAAAATGGTGGCCTATAAGCCAAATTCTAGTAGTGTGTTGTCGAGATTTTTTCTTCACAATTGACTGCAAAGTCATTGTGAAAGTCGGATGTTAAACAGTTCTCTCACCATTACTGCGTTTGTTGATGCTAATTATGCAGGAAATCCAGATGACTGTTGTTCAACTGGTGGTTGTTGCATACTTTCTTTGTGACAATTTAGTTTCATGGAGTTCCAAAAAACAGTGTGGCGTTTCTCGGTCAAGTACAAAGGGGCAGAGTACTACCAATTAGATTATACATCAGCGAAGTTGTCTTGGTTTTGCCATTTTTTCGCAATCTTCATCTCCCAATTGAACCACCACGACTGTGGTGTGACAATATTAGTCCACTTGTTGTGGCATCCATCTTGTATACCAAGCTCGAATGAGGCATGTCGAAGTTGACTATCATTACATTTGAGAAAAAAACATTTGAAAGGAAATTGTTGTTGTGTATGTTGCCACTGCTGATCAGTTTGCTGGTCTTTTGGCCAATGGTTTATCATCATTTCTTTTACATATCTCATTTCCAAGCTGCCAACGACCGATCAACTTGTGGGGGTGTGATAACCAAACTCTCATCCAAGTCATTAATCCTTGTCACATTATCATTCAAGTCACCAATCCTCATCAGTAAAGTTTGAAATGGTGGATTCCTGCTCTCCAAACCGACTGCACAATAGCAATCCAACTCCTCAGTAGATAGAACAGAAGCATATCCCTAGTCTATCTGAGACTCTTTCCCAGCAGTGGAAATCATCTCCTGAATAAGTCTTGGTTGTAATTTGAATTGTTTTGCAATTTGAGATAAGGCTATACTGTAACAACCCCATCTCTTGTAAAGCTATATAATCAAAATGAAGTCTCACTCATAATTAAGTAAGTTGAGTTTATTCAAGCAAACATTACAAACCCTAATTGAGTGTAAAACTTCTGTCATGTATTATAGGATTGTATTTTCCAATTGTAATTAGTGTATGATTCCAACCTCAATAGGGATTAATATAATCTATATATATTATAATATTTTCCACACCTCAATACAAGAAGTCATAATTTACATGGTATCAGAGCCGTAGGTTTTTCTTAGGTCCTAGGTTTTTATATTTTTTTTTTCTCCTCTTCTCTCCTCTTGCCTTCCAAACCACCAAAAAACACACACACATACCCCCTTGCCATCCACATCTCTCCCCTGTGGCGTCATGACACACCCCGATCCTAGAATCAAGGCGTGATGGCCGTCACATGAGCGTGACGTAACCAAAAGTGCGATGCGGAAGCAAATGATATGAGAAATACGAAGGAATAAAAACCAACTACTAGCAATAATATCCAACTAGCATGCTAGAGTGAGTTAAAGTGTGCAGTATACAATTTCAGAGCATAAATAATAGGTGCAGTCAAGTAGGACTATAATTAAATTACAACACCCGTAGGTGAGTCCTACATGCAGGAAGTCTGTCAGAACGCCGAAGAAAACCTCGTGAGCCACCAACTGCTAACTAGAACCTGGAGGGGCGCAAAACAAAATTGAGTGGGTCAGTAAAACCAAAGTTTTTCAAAAACATTTCATCAAAACAATTCTAACCCCTCGCTGTAAAACCTGTATACTTTCCCAGAAAATAACATAATAGTATATAAATCCTCATATATCTCAAATCATCAATCTTTATCAAATCCAGAAAATATGCCATGCCATAAATGTCAATAATAAAACATGGATGCATCAAAATAAACAGGTGACATAATGAATCAACCGGAAACCCTGTAGTTGGTCATGTACGGTTAATTCCATAGCTCAATATCCAACCCAGCCGGAGTCGCCACGGTGACCTGTACGGCACTACTCTGCACATAAATCGGAACTACTTAAAGTAGTCTGTATGATGATAAGAAAGGTGTAAGAATACGCTCTAGTGCTTCTCTCATCAATCATCTGCGCGCATAATCTAAGGTCACCTCCTAGTCGGAACCACCTTTAGTGATCTGTACGACTAGCATGTCGGAACCCTCTCATGGTCTGTACGACATGCACCTACTTGGATCCAAGGTGAGCGTGTGGTGCGGTGAATAATATAAGCACTAACACCAGGGTGCAGGTTATGAGCTCTCAACAATTTCACATCATCAATGATTCACATGAATAACATAAAACTCACTTGATACTCACCTGTGCGTCCACGGCACCAATTCACATATATATATATGCATCAATATCAATTCATACAATTCACAATATGCATGCATGGCATTTGAAAACATATTTTCATATAAATTCAAATTCTGGGAAAATCAATAGTATATAGGTATATACGGAAAACAAAACTGCCCACTCACTGGTAAGTCAATGGGTCGTAACCCCCGTGACGTCCCTGGATGCGCTCGTCCTCGGGATAGGTGTCACCTATATGCGAAACAACTATAAAAACGTTAATTTAAGCACATAACCGACAATTCATAATAACTTCTCATACGGTGCTCAAATTGGGTATATGAATATACCACATCGACCTACTCGACGTCACGGACGTCGAGAAATTTTTAGAAAAAATTTCTGAAGCTGCACGCGCCCCCACGCGCCTGGACAGACACGGGTCCACGCGCCCCCCACGCGTGTCTCCTACCTCGGGCTCGCCGGACTGGTTTTTTCGGTGGTCGGAAAACTGGAGATTTTTCAATCTCCTTGTTCTCCATCATTTCTCAACCATTTTCTTCGAATTTTATATCAAAATGAAGCCCTAAGCATGTAGTTTCACGTTACACTACTTTAAGGCTCTAAAAACTACAAAATCTCACTGGAGAAATTCCATGAAAACCGGCCAATTTCGAACCCAATGGTCCCGACGTCCAAAACCTTCAAACGAAGCACTCCGACCTTCCTTGGGACCTCACTAAGCTCACTACAAGCTTAGAATTCCCTGAAAATTAACACATCACGATTGCATGAACAGTGACATAAAACTGGGGTTCGGGTTTCACGTGATTTCGAAGGTTTCACGTTCTAA